TAATGTTGACGTTTCATGTCTATGGTAGGGGGCGCTATAGTGTTCACTTTTCATATGTTTTATAGTGTATTATATTCAGACTGAGATCACACATTAGTGATTCAAATTTCAGCACAATCAGACTAAGTCTGTGCGAACAGGAGCAAATAATGTCACCTTGAAATTAGCCAAAATTTTGACCAAAATTTGCGGCCTCACCGCACATAAACCGTGACAGTTATCAACATAAATTGGATAACTTTAGATGTTCCCCTTGTCTAGATGATGTACGTGATTTTCAGGCCTGTGGGTGAAGCACCTTCAGAGGAGTGCGTTCAAACGCAACGTCAGCGAAAATGCGGACTCAAATTTCAATCCAAGATGGCCGCCTTCTGGTTTGTCAGGGGGCGTGGCCATAATAATATTTTTTGTTTGTCTTCACATGATGAATGTGTGTACTGAATTTCGTGGCTCTACAACAAAGTTGAAGTCGAGACATCTCCCATAGGCGCAATGTATTTTGACTTTTCGAGGTGGCGCTGTGTTGCCATTTTTTTATGCCCGTGCACGAAACCTATATTTTATCGAATTTTTCGCCACTTCTGAATTTTGGGCCAAGTTTGTTGAGCCCTGTCGGGGCTCGGGCCTAATAATAATTCGAGCAAAAACAATATATCCGAAAACATTAGAACAACATATTATATACATTTTTTGAAAGCTCTCGACCTTCCCCACGTCACAGTGACGGGCACTGACGCGCTCGTCACTCACCATCTCGTCGAGGTCACCCATGGCCTTCCATTGACTTCCATTCATTTTAGCAGTAGTAAATATGGCTCAGGCCTTGGGCGTGGGTTACTGGGATACTGCTGTTCATGCCGGGGGCAATCGAGGACATAGTTGCATGTCGTCTTGTCGCATTCGGCCATGCGCACGTCGCTCCCCATTCGCTCCGCTTAGCGGAAGCAATAAGCCCTACGCCCTGTCGGGGCTCGGGCCTAACAAGTTTGCATTACAACTTCACTTACGACTCACTGTACATAAAAGAGACAAAATATAAATTAAAACAAACAACATTTAATGCATAATTCATTTATTCCAGAGCTCTGTATCTTTCAAAACATAACACTTTATACTCATCACTCAGGTTGTCCCATAAACTAACCCCTCTAACAGAAATACAATCACTTTTTTTTGTTTTGTTTATGTTTGTACAAACTAATAATAATGTTAACAAAAGCACAAAAGTTTATTGTTTATGATGGTAGAAAATAAACCGTAATGAGAATGAAAAAAATGTAAGGATCTTTTAGTTTATATTTATGGTCGTACAAACTAATACTTAGAGCAATATTGTCAGTCAGCACAGTGTTCCTGAGCACAGAGAGCAGTGTTCTACTCCAACATGCATGTACGAGGACATGAATCAAATTCACCAAAAACATTTTTAACACTAAATGGATAAGAACTGTCACCATCTTGTGGAACCTAAAGCACAGTTTGTGATGTTCACTGATTGTCAGGGCCTCATGTTTGTGTGACCTGGTGAATCTAAAGAGCTTCTGGTGACGGTGTGTGAATGGTGCTCTGTCAGTGTGTGTGTCTTCTGGCTCAGTTCCAGGAGGTAAACTGTCCATCAGCCTGAGACCACCCCTCTGCTCCTGACAACTGCTTCATGAATGTGTCTGTGATTTTACTTTTATGGAGCCTGATATGAAATGTGTTGAAGTTATAGAAAGGGCATGTAAGTCTGTATAAATGTATACATAAGAAGTATCCAGTGTACAGAGCGTGTGTCCTGTCTGCAGCAGACGTGGCACTGTTACAGTATGAGGCCAGCGTTCTCTGTGTGCCTAATCTGGATTTTCTCTTGATGGCCGTATAAACACGTCTGAATGGTCTATAGAGGCTTTCATCTCTCAAAGTTTAATCTTACACCCTTTTTACATCTCCACTAAATTCAACCATATTTTTTGATTGGTCACGTTTCCATGACAACAGTGATTTCTCATCATGGCTCCCCCTCCGGCTCCATCGCTCCATTGATACGGCTGCCTCCCCCGTCGCCTTGTGGTTTTGTCCAAATAAAACAAAGCATGTTGTGAAAGGGCTCTGAGGTAGGTAAATGTATTCAGTGACATCAGCCGGACCAGTCCATTCTGCAGGATTCCTGTACCACTTGTTTCCAGCCTTGTCTGGGGGCCGGACACTCTGTTGGGCCCTTTGTGCCCGCTGTATTCCACACAGCTCCACAATTAAAGGAGGCCTTGTCTAAGGCTCCTGGAGCAGAAAGCGCCGTCCGGGAGGGGGACAAAGGCCGGGCCGGGGCTGCTCCGGGGGCTGTTGGCCCGGGGGCTGAGAGCGAGCGAGGAGCTGGAGGAGCTCCATGATCCTACTGTGTGAGGGCCCCGAGCCTCTGGTCCACACACGCCGCTGAAAGGAGCACCGATGGAGAGGGCCACTTCACTGCCACCACAGCTGAGCTCTACAGTCAGACAAACGTTTAAGAGAGCTCCCCCGACAAGCACATCACAGTCACAGGACGACATACACACAACTCTTCTGCTCTTCATATTGTTCATTATTCTGTACGTGTACTGTCTGAAATATCACACTTTACATTTCACATGATGCACAGTGGAACTGTCCTTTCTATCCTGAAATTCGTCAAACATTCACAGTGGACCATTTCATGTCATTAGTGCTTGTGTTTTGTACATGTTTGTTGATCTGCGCTGACACACACACAGACACATGACTCTGAGTGAGCTATGTCCACCTGTGATATAGTTATCTATATGATGTCTTCTGAACTTGGTGCAGTCGCTTCCCTCCTCTCTCTCCTTATTTCACTCTACAGCTGTATGGACAAATAAAGTGGACAGATTAAAAAAACAGAAAGAAAAAAAAAGTGTCCTCTATGCATGTTTACTCAAGCTAACATTTCAATGTTTGTGAGTCAAAAAAAGAAAACAAATATTGACGGGTCCAGCTGTAGGTCCCCTGACCAAGTTCCTATGTGAATCAACACCAAAACTGTTCTTGGTGTTGTTTTTAATACATTATTTCCCATAGATTTTGTTCAGACTTAGGTGTTTTAAATATTTTCTCTTAATTTGTATTTTCGAGTACTAATTTATGTCACTTACTGTTTGTTTTTATTTATTTATTTATTTTTTTGCAGTTTTATATTTATACAAAACAATTAGCAACAATGTATGATTTTGTTATGCCAATGTATACTCCAGGGGTTTTTTTGTTTGTTTTTTTGAGGATGGGGAGAATTTTAGACAGAAACTCTTGGTGCTTGGTTATGTATTGCTTGTAACAGTTTGCCAGACTTTCCTGCAGAGATAGTTAACACATAAGAGTAACCCAGTTTTTTTACGTCTTCAGTGCTGTTGTGGTAAGTGCTCATCTCCTCTATCTGCTGATGGGCTTCACTTGAACTTTCAGAGAAGATTGTGGTGAGACGCTCTAACCTGCTCTTGTTTGTCTTTGTGGACTCCAAAGCTGCAGCGTTCCCACACTGATACGGATCTGAATTGTGCTATAAACCTGTGTCCACATGGTGCTCTTCATAAAGGCCCGATTGTGGCGGCGCTGCAGAAAACACCACTGATGGCTCATAATTTATTAGAGCCGGGCCCCTCAGTCATCTGCTGTGGAGTGAAGGAATCTGCACAGTTTGGACGTTCAACACAACAGAAGATATGTGTTTAAATACAAATAAAATGTTTGTACACTATTTTTATACATTCAGCAAATTATCATTCTATTTTTTGTGTTTGGTCAAATCAAGTAATAAGATGACATTCTCTCACAAACCTGAAGTAAGCTATCTATTAATCTATATAAACTCCAACCAGTCACTGTCACTGGGCAAGACACATCACTTAACCTGCTGTGTGTGATTGGTGGTGGTCAGACGGCTGTGGTCAGTCTGGGGTCACTGCTCTGGACACACTCACTTAAACAGGGCTCATGGACACACTCAACAGCTTTAAGTCCATCAGAGGACACAGCACGTCACCCTCAGCAAGAGCTCAATCAGCATGATGGATTATACTGGGCTCACGTATATATATATATATATATATATATATATATATATATATATATATGAGAACTATGTCCAAATTTGTGCATACTTAAATATAAAAGCTGATATAAACGTTTAAAAAATAAAATTAAAGTAAAAATAAAGCTAAATTAATAAAATAAATAAAACCAAACCAAAAACAATACACACATCATCATTAATAACAATTGGACATTTTGCCTGGTCAAAGTTGTCAGAGGAAACTCTCTCTGTCTCTGTCTCTTTCTCTCCCTCTCTCTTTCTCTCTCTCTCTCTCTCTCTCTCTCTCTGTCTCTCTCTCTCTCTGCTCTCTCTCTCTCTCTCTCTCTCTCTCTCTCTCTCTCTCTCTCTCTCTCTCTCTCTCTCTGTCTCTCTCTCTCTCTCTCTCTCTCTCTCTCTCTCTCTCTCTCTCTCTCTCTCTCTCTCTCTCTCTCTCTCTCTCTCTCTCTCTCTCTCTCTCTCTCTCTCTCTCTCTCTCTCTCTCTCTCTCTCTCTCTCTCTCTCTCTCTCTCTCTCTCTCTCTCTCTCTCTCTCTCTCTCTCTCTCTCTCTCTCTCTCTCTCTCTCTCTGTCTCTCTCTGTCTCTCTCTCTCTGTCTCTCTCTCTCTCTCTGTCTCTCTCTCTCTCTGTCTCTCTCTCTCTCTCTCTCTCTCTCTCTCTCTCTCTCTCTCTCTCTGTCTCTCTCTCTGTCTCTCTCTCTCTCTCTCTCTCTCTCTCTCTCTCTCTGCTGTTTGATGGATGTGCAGGGTGCACGCGCGCGCAGTGCCGTGCGCAGCCAATGGGAGCGACGCGCCGCACGAGCCCACAGCCTCCCGGCACCGCGCGCGAGCTCATTGGACACTGCGTGAAACCCAGAGAGCGACGCACGAGCCGCTCGCGTGCGGCCCTCGTCTATAAATAACACGTGAGCCGCTGGACGCGGCACAGTCCGCACCAGGACACCGGAGTTTGCGTCACTTTGCGTCACTTTGAGCGCTTTATGAACGCGTCCACACCGAGGACACACATTGAGGACACGCACGGAGGACACACATTGAGGACACACACTGAGGACACACACAGAGGACATGCCAGCCGGGACTTTGCAGCAGAACACACCGGACTCAGCGGCCGTTACCCCGGCTCGCACCGACCACAGACCGCCCGCTGTCTCCGAGAGCAGGAAGGTAAAACTTTACCTTTTTACTTTTTACATCTAATTAAACTGCGACTGATCGAACCATATTCTCATATTTTATATAAGCCTGACCTAATTTTCCGAGTTTCTCCATTATTGTTTACTTGACAAGTGTAAACCTTGTTCCTCCTGTTGCATTTTTGTTTATTTTACATACGCGGCTTGTCCTTCAACTCAAGTAGTTTGAGCTTCTCTTATTTATATGAAGCTTTTCACTTTCAGAATCACATGTTATTGATCAGTATTAAATATGATATAGATCCATTGTAAATTTGCTATAGGTATAATCTTAATTAAACACTTTAAGCACAGTTAATGTGCTTATGTGGTACATGGGAAATAATTGAGTTCTTGAACATAGACCCATTGCTAGTCTCATATTTTTAGTTGAACTCTTTCCTTTTTCCTTGTGCAGTCATCAAAGCCCATCATGGAGAAAAGGAGACGGGCCAGAATCAACGAGAGCCTGGGGCAGCTCAAGATGTTAATCCTGGAGGCATTAAAGAAAGATGTAAGGACCTGATATAGCTGTTATAAATGTAATAAATGTTATAAATTATTACATTAGTATTCACTTTGGCCTCGGTTGTCTTCAGACTTCCAGACACTCTAAACTGGAGAAGGCCGACATCCTGGAGATGACCGTCAAACACCTGAGGAACCTTCAGAGGCTGCAGATCACAGGTTTGTCTCTGACAGAGCTGCACCTAATGTTTTAAAGTTATATTTGAACTTTTATAAAGGCTAATTTGTCTTTGTTTAGCCAGTATAGAAACAAGGTTCCAAACAAAATGGAAGTTAAAAAGTCTCTCAGATATTTAAGGCTTTTACCCTGGTCATTGTTTAATGTAAATCCAATGTAACAAAAACTGAAGTCTGAATATAACAGATAAAATGTACATAGCAAAAAACAAACAAAAACATTTTTGTGCTCAATTAATATATTTTTATTAAATGATGACTTTCTTGTTCTCTTCTAGCCGCTGTCCACGCTGACCCGGGGCTGCTGGGTAAATACCGCGCGGGCTTCAGTGAGTGTGTGGGGGAGGTGACGCGTTTCCTCTCCACATGTGAAGGGGTCCACAGTGAGGTGCGGACCCGCCTCCTCACTCACCTGTCGTCCTGCGTGTCCCACATGTACCCCCCTGTGGTGGGGCTCTCCTCTGTACCCCCCCTGCCCTCTGTGCCCCTGGGCTGTAAGACAGTGGCTCCAGAGCTGAGTCTTTACACAGGGGTGCAGTTGGTGCCCAGGCCTGAGGGGCATGTGGCTGTCCTGGTGCCCAGTGGGACCCTCTCTTCTGCGGGTGCCCACAGCGTCCTGTCCTCCATCGGCCCTGCGCTCACATCAGACTCTGTGTGGAGGCCCTGGTAGCACCAAGGGCCCCACTCACATGCACACTTTTATACTGTACCATTGTACATAGTGTACATACATTTTTCATATTGTTTTGTATAGTTTTTATTTGTTATTTTGTATTGATTTTGTTGCTGTTGGGCACATCTCTGTCTCTAAAATCAGGATATAAAAAAAATTAAATATGAAGTTATAGCACAGAGGTGATAGAGACGTGAGGTGTTGCATCCAACAACAATGTATTTGTGTGTAGCTGTTTGTACGGCACATCAGTCTGGCTCTTGAAGCTTTTGTAAAGCTCTTTTTATGAGATTTATAAACAAATAAAATCATTACTGTTACTTGCTCTTATTGTGTGCTTTTATTTTATTTTATAGAAAACCTGAAAATGATGGTGTAATTTGTGTTTCTCTCTCTGATCATGAGCCATTCATTGCCATAAATAATAAAATGAATAGGGACTATATCTGTACATCCAACATGTAACACACTACATTTATGACCAAGATTCATTTTCATAATCTTAAGTAAACAGCCATACAATAAAATGGATACATTCACATTTCATTGATTTTAAAGATTAGCGGCAGCTGCTACTTTAGCTTAAAGCTCCACACAGGAAATGATGAGAACAGAACCAAAGACCCGACCTGACAGACCCGCCGCCGGGACCCGGGACTGTCGCTGTCGGGACTGGGTCAGTTGCCACCAGGCCGGAGCTCTCGCTGCCGCCGCCGGGGCCAGGCAGAGGATAAAGTCTATCCGCCTTTGCCCGCTCGTTTCTGGGTGTAAAAGTTTGTCCTGGGCGTAATGCAGAGACATAAATCTACCTGGTGCTAATATGGACTGGTGGAACTTTCACATTTAAGTAACAAGTGGGATTAAGTTTTAGTTTTACAACCAGTTCGTGCACTCAGCTCCCGGACCTCGCGTCACGGACCTGACTGGATCTGGATTTGGACCAGTTTCATCTCTTCATATTGGACAATAGACTTTTGGAGACAGAACCAGTGGGACAGTGGACAGAGGAAACACTCTGCTTCAGTCTCTGGAGTGGTAAGAGGCTGGTTTTCTTTAGTTTGCGGCAAATCTGAACATGGAGCGTAACAGAGAATTATAGTTAAATAGTGCGTAAATGAGCTGGTGGGTGCGGTGGTTGTTCTGTCGTGTGCTGTAGGAGCGGCGCTGTTGTGATCGTAGCCTCTTATTGTAGTTTTATTGATGTTGTTGTCTGGGTGTGAGCGGCGTGTTACGTTGTGTTGGTGCGAAGTTTTCGCGTGGCTGTTCATTGTGCTCTCATATAGTTCAGCCACTAGTAACCAAAATATTCATAATATATATTTATAATTTTGATCTTGGTGCCCCTCCCAAAAATTATACCACCATTTTAATTTTAATTTAAAAAAAAAAAAATATCTCACATCAGGAGAAGCGTGTGGACGGTGTACCCTCGCGTACCACGCCCCCTACAGCCCTGGTGCTGCCCGATGCGTGGCTGTTTCTTGCCCGGCTGTTTCTTTCAGTGATGTTGTTCAGGGGTGTTTTTGACGAGGCTGTTGTTTAAGCTTTACAACCAGTGGCAGGCTTTATTGTTTTTTTTAATAAACCTCAGCCTTTTATTATTGTCTTGTGTGCTATCGTCTACCACACAGCCTCAACAACTATTGCAGCTAATAATAATAATAATAATAATAATAGTGATAATAATAACAACACATAATTAGCCTAATACTGTTAAAGAACAACGTGTTTGAAGCATTTCTGCTTTGTATGACTCCACCACGTTAAAATATTTCTCAAATGGCACTGCCCCCTTGCTGGTGACCCACGCCCCAGGAAATACAGGAAATGCTGTGAAGTTTTAAACTCCATACACCTTCACTGGAATCATTTGGATGATTTCAGCCAATTTCTACTGCACTAAAGCTAAAACTGCAGACATCACAAGGAGGAACAGAGCATTTTGAGCTTTGGAGATGTAGACAGACTAAGAGTTACTCAAACGTGTGAATGAAACAAAGCACAACTCCAGTTTTGTTTTTGAGGAGGTAAGAATATTATATTATGACTTAAAGCTCGCAAGATTCAGTTTTGTGTAATATAAGACCCTTAATACATGACACTGCACAAAGTTATAAATACACTGGTTAAATTGTTTGACTTGAGTTGAAAGGCCCATTAAATCCTTAAGTAACAGGTGCATGTTTTGACTTTTTTTGGCGTGAGAAAGCGATGCTCATTTCACATGTAAATGAAGACAAACATGCAACAAATGTCACCCAGAATTTACTGACACCCCTCACTTTGTGCAAATGATATAGTCAATTAAGTTTACATCTCTGTTTTGCTACGGCTAAGAGAAGAGAGATCGTAATGAGTCCTCGGAGACAAAGTACCAGACCCCTCCCCGTTCCCATCACAGTATCTTTTGAGAAGCAACCAAAAACACAGAAACAAAGACAGGCCCCCGAGAGCCCCTCTTTGAGAGCCTCTCCATCTTTATAAAGGGTCCTCCTCTTGTTTATCCAGGAAGAGGGGGCCACGCTGTCACTTTCACCAGGCTTAGGGAGCTTTGTGTGGGACGGTCCCAGAGGTATCACAGTTAAAGGCTCAGCTACACTCTATAGATTGGATAGAGGCACTTACGCAGATCCACACATTGAGGAGACATCAGCTGGAGATGTCTCAACAGGAGCCTATGTTTAGCTCAGCGCAGCCATTTAGATCCACTCTTTTCATTCTGTTTGTTGACTGAGCAATGAGAGATTTTCAAGTCATGACTGAAAAGCTGCCTGTGTTTGAGTGTGACGCTAACTGTAGGCACTGCTCTCTCTGAAACTTTTTTAATCAGAGTTTAATTTTAACACAATCTGACCATAAAGAACTGACATAGCTGGAACTACACGTGAGTTGATTTGTGCTCTTAAACAAGTAAATCTCAAATAAGGGTGTAACAAAAACTGAAATATCATTATATCATATCGTCAGAGTTCTCACAATAATATTGTGGACCATCACAATATATCGAATTACAAGTCTCTTTGCTTAAATGAAGAGTTATGGTGCATAGACTACATAGACCATGATCGTTTGCTCCATTTCAGTGCAGACTACAAGAAGAAATAACCGTTCAAGTCTCAGTTCTTTGGATTAAGTCTTGTCAAGACTTTTTAAGAGGAAAAAGTAGCAGATTAACAGTTTTAGTTGTTTAGCCTCCACAGAATATCACAATAAATATCGTACAGTGAGATGTATATCGTGAAAATAGTTTTGGACATTTGGATTACATTGTTACATTCCTAATCGTGAGCTTTCCCACGATATCTCAATAAATATCATACTGTGAGCTTCATAACTTGGCGATATCGTATCACAAGACTTGGATATCGTTACACTCCTAGTCTCAAATAATATTAATGTCCCAAGTTGGTCACCCTCACTGACACCTGCACAGGACCATGAGCACGCACACTCATCACAGGCTCCAGAAACTCTGTCCTTTTAAATACATTTTGTATTTTTTCTTGAGTTTTCAGACCATCTAAAACCTTATTTCTCAGTGTTTGTTAATACTGCTAAAACTGCTGAACATACCGCCACAGACTGACATACAGTACACCCCCAGCGTTACATTTCTGCAAAGTATCAATATGCTGAGTGCTCATTTCTCTTAAATTTTAGAAAAGCAATAACACAACAGACACTCTGGAATTAATGTCCAAAAATAAAATCGTTGTTGTATTCATTTGAGCGTTGCACATACTATAACACTAATAATTTTTCTTTGTTATTTATATTTATATATTGTGCGTGACCTGAGATGTGCGAACTGAATTGCCCTTTGGGATTTATAAAGTTGTTGATTGATTAATTGATTGCGATCCTCAGGTGGGTCGCAAGGCATTTTTTTTGTCACCTTGTCACAAACTTATCTGCATGTAGGTCTGCAATATACATATACATACATCTTCTCCCCCCGCTCCTCACGTCTTCTCCATGCAGGGAATCTCCGCGCACCCCTCCCCACTTCTCACTTTCTGTGGGAAACACTGATGACTATTTAAAACTTCAGTAATACTAATTGTTCAGAGAGACACGATCACTCAGTCAACAATAAAATATCCTCATTAGTCACAAATTGATTTTGTGATTTATGAATAATGTCTATTGACTTGAGTCGTGAAGATTTGTGACTTTTAAAATATGGGCCCTCAAAAAAAAAGTTTGGGAAACACTGTTATAAGACACTTTTAAGCATGTGTTAAAAATGGAATTCACCTCTAATGCAGTGGTGGATGACTTTCTCAATTTTGTAGTAAAAGTACAGATACTGGAGTAACAAAATACTCTAGTAAAAGTATAACATGGAAAAATCTTCTCAAGTAAAAGTATTAAAGTACCTGTTTAAAAATGTACTTAAAGAGTGAAAAGTTCACAGATTTTGAGGTCTAATAAAGTTTCAAGTGTAGTGACTTTGATAAAGATTTGTGCTGAATTTTGTTCAGCAGAAACAAATTAATAATTTTTTTCAATAAATCTTTTTATTTTGTATATTTTTGTTTGCTCAAACTACAGATGTGTTAAAAATAAACCCTCAAACTTTTCTTCAGGTCTCAGACAATAATAAAAAGTACTTTTACTTTTCAGTCCAGTTCAAAAATATAGTGGAATAGAAAGTACAGATAACTATAAAATGTATAAAAGGCTTTTACTTGATTCCATTGCAGTAGCAGTGCTCTAATCACTCCTGACAGTTGATGAGGGGTCTGTATGTGACGGGGCCTCAGCAGCAGTGAGCCTCGTCAGTCCTGATGATCACATGATGCTCCATATGAATGAACAAAGAGCTGTGTCCGTTTCTTCGATTCAGCCCTTTTTGATTTAGCGTCTTGTTTTTTTACAGCTGAAGGAGGAAGTGCTGTTTCCGGGAGCGCGGTGTGACGGGCCGCGCCGAGCCTCATATTTATTACACTGCAGTGCATTCAGATAGACACTGCAGTGCATTCAGATAGACATCCATCACATGTCAGAGCAGCTTCAAAGAGCACGCTGTGGACAAGGAGCGCTGGGATATCTGGGCCTCTGGATCCTCAGGCCATATGCTCACAACGTCCAAAAACACTTTATTTATTGCAGCGACTGAAACAAAGGCAAAAGGCGCCAGGAAGATTTGTAAAGACAAATTCCTCCTGGACAGAACGGCCACAGTTCTGCTCTTATATGTGT